AATCCTCCTCTTGATATGGTAGCAGAGCATGAATATAAACTCTTTTATGCTTTACAATTATTATTGACTTCAACCAATTGAACAGAGACAGAGATGAAAGAGAAAGCAAAGGAGGGAATAGACACAGGAACACATAGGAGAGGGGCACATGCCACTGAGGGATCCATTAGTGTAAGCTGCTTTTTTGTTAGTCCCCAAGACAATGCTCAGTCCTTTTCTAACCATTCATTCAGGGTTGATGGAAAAGTCAGAATAAATAGTGAGGAGCTGGGCAGTTGATGTGAGTAGTGACAATAAAAAGGCTACTGACCCTCTCACATGACATAACTTAATTTCCACTGCAGGAAGCACTTCTCTCCCTCCCCTTTCTTACCTAACAAAACAAAAGAAACTAGGGCTCTAGTTTTCTACTCCTTCTTCCTGGTCCCTCTCCACCTATTCCAGGATGGCAAATCGAAGAAAACATTTTATAGTGAGAGTCTGTGACTGTCAAATTGGTGGTGGTGGTATGACGGGCCCTTGGTGAATCAGGAGAGCATACCATACAGTCAGCTCCAGTTTTTCCAAGAACCTTTATTGGAAAAATGTCCAATAAGTGAGATCACCAGCAGCTGGAGGGGCTGCCACGTGAGGGGGAGCACCTGAGGCTCCATGGAAGACATTGGAGTAGTGCAGTGCAGCATCGCCTCTAGGCCCAGAAGATTCCTTTTATTTTCTGGGGGAAGAGAAGTACCCACAGAAACACCCCCAGAGGCAAGACTTAGGGGTAGCTGGGGATGCCAAGAGTCCTGATACAGGTGAAATGGGGTCCCTGTTTGGGACCTAATGGGATAGGGTAGAACAAGTGACTCTCCCCTGGACCTGGGGGATAGGAGAAGATATTCTATCTGATAATCACTCCCCAGGTCCAGGGACACACATTCTAACAGACCTACCTTCTGGCTCTGCTCACAGTGGAAAGAGGATGGCTACCAGGCCTGAGATTGTGGGAGTGTCATTACTCTGGGAGTCTTGGGCAGTTCCATCTTAGGCTCTCCCTGACCCCATCCCCATCCCCAGGTTGCTAATGCATCTCCCTTCTGGTTCTGTTTCTTCTTTCAAACATCGATGGTGTTGATGGACGGTGACTTTTTCTGTGAAAGAAAATGGCCTAAGTCTTCAACTTCAGGAAGGCAATAGGTGCCACTTTTCCTCTCCAGCATCCTCCACCCCAGGCCTTCCCTTCTCTATTTTTTCCTGCCCCTCTTTGGCCTTCCTTTCTCTGGCTGCTCCTCAGGGGCAGAATCATCCTTCCCTCCCTCACTGGCTGGCCCCCACATCACCTGTCTTGTCCCCACGGGCCTTCCCTGAGGACTCTGTTCCGGCCCCTTCCCTTTCTCCTTGGGGTTGTTGTTGGAGTCATTGTCCTTGATGATGTCATACTGACGGCAGAACAGCCCAATTACAGCTGAAACACAACAATACAATTTGAGCCTTCATCTTAACCACCTCGCTCAGTTTTTAAGGGAGATACCCAAATAGTTTCTACAAAATCCAAGAAGAAAATCCTTAAATTCCTGTTACCTATGAGATCTTGTCTTTTGGCTCTAGATAGCCTTCTCTTCCTCTCTACAAACTTCCCTGATCATCTCCCCCTCAACTAAACATCTCCCCACCTCCATTTCTCTCACTCCCTTTTCTCCTAACAACCTTTGCTACCTCCCATGTTCACCAATTCCTACTTTCTAAGTCCCTGCTCCCCCATCTAGCTGCTTACTCACCTGCCCACATGAGCAACACCACCACAATGATGACCACTTCCCCAGTCTGCAGTGGTCGCTCTCCATCCAGACCCTCCACTGTGATGTCACCTGAGAAGGGAGAAGCCAACTCTGGGTTACTGGGGAACAGCTATATCCATACAGACACATGCAGGCTGGAATGCTGGGGATTAGTCAGAGTAGATACATCACAGTGTTGCCCCTTGAGTTGTAGGGTAGCCCTTTTCTAGGAGGCAGCCTTTGGTAGACAGGTGGTTAAAGACCATAAAGCAAGAGGGCTGCAGGTTAGGTACTCATTCATGCAGGCGGCAGCTGATGTGAAATGGGATTGGGTAAAAGGAAGCTTAAAAGCCCTTCCTCCAAACAATTCAATACCAGGCTGTCTATCCCCGGTCTCCTGCCCACCTGCTTTTCCTTCCTTTCCTGGCAGTACAATGAATTAAATCACTCTTCTGTTCATCTAAACTAGACTGTGGCTTGCCTTAGGAAAGTAAATAAGAGGCTAAAAGCCAGGTAAGAAGCCAGATAATCTATTACATAGACCCTCACCTGGGCTTGAGCTGTTCGAGGGTAGCCGGTCAGAACCCTTGAGAGTTCGGAAGTGCACCCGGGGCCCTGGGGGACTCTCTCCCCGAAGGCCGATGCTCCTGACCTGCACTGTGTAGTCACTGTCTTCAGCCAGTCCCCAGAGGGCACAGGCTCGAGTGGTGGTGTTCACCTCCCGGATCACACGCTGTCCGGGGCCATTCTGTCGCTGCAGGGAGGTGATGGGAAAGGAGGACAGCCTCACCCCAGGGCCAGGCCAGAAGGCTTAACCCTGGACTTCTGAACATCCAAGCACTCCAAGGATATAGGGTGAAAAGAGCAGCTTGAGCCCCCAAACATCAACTCCCAGATTCCCCCACCTCCAAGAGAGGAGTTTGGGGGGAGGTAGCTGAAGGAAGGTCCAGAGATCCAAGGACACAGGTTGGGGGAGCAGAAGAGTGATTCATACTTGCTGGGAAATGGAGTAGCCAATGACGATGTTGCCTTCTGGGACGTCCCAGGACACAGTGGCCGAGTTGGCTCTGAGGTGAGTGACTGTCACATTCACAGGAGAGGGAGGCCGGTCTATGGGTGCCGGGGTGTTAACAGGTTTCACCCACAGACTAGTTCGGTTGACCTCCACCCCCACCAGAGCCTCTCTACTCACCTGCTCGCACAAAGCCCAGGTCACAGCTGACCAGCAGGAGGACCGTGGGGCTTAGATATGGGGTGAGGGGCATCAGCGAAGCCATAGTCCCCACCGAGTCCGCTGGGGGAAACTGGGGCATCTGCTTGACATCCAGGCGGGGTTCCTGGAGACAGCAAGAGTGGGGGGTGTCAAAGATGGTCAGCAGCTCTCCCAGGCCCTCGAAGGCCCACAAAGCCCCATCTTCCACCCATACACCCCTAACCCACCCCACGCGCCCTCCCCGCCCCCGCAGTACCCAAGCGCCCCCAGTGCGCGGTCTGTCCTGCCCACACCCACCTCCGCCTGTCCTCGAGGTGGGTCAGGCCTCGGGGGGCTGCTCGGTGCCCAGAGGGCGGCCCATCGCCCGACTCTGTTGCGCTGCCCCTACCCCATCCCGGCGCGGGCCCGGCGAGGCAGGCAGCGCGGGGCCGAGCAGCCGGGCAGAGGGCAGAGGCAGAGCCGGTGCCGGCCGCGGGTCTGCTGAGCCCCCAGAGCTCCGACTGGCAGCGTAGTCCTTCTGAGAGCAGGGGGCGTTGCCGGTGCGGCCTGGCGGCTCGCCCAGGTCCCAGGTGCAGGAGACAGTGCAGCTGCCTTCTCCGGCCCCTGCAGCGGGATGTGACTGTTCCGGGCAGCCAGCCGCCGCCTTCTGCAGAGCTGGCCCGGCTCTCTGCGCCGCAGCCCGGCCGGGACGTGCGGGCCCGCCCCGCCCCGCCGGGTTCTAGCAGCCGTCATCCCCCGCCCCGCCTCGTGCTCTTGGGGCTCCTCCCACGACCCTCCCTATGGCGGCCTCCCGGGCCCCCACTTTTCTCCCTCTCGGCTCCAGCCGCTGAGCCGGCCGGGGCAGGGGGTTAGGCGTAGGCGCGAGGGTCTCAGGCATCTGGGAGCTCCCCTCCTTCTTCGGATGGAATTAGCCAAGTTCTGAGGAGGAATTCCACCTTCGGTGCGGGAGGGGCTAAGAGGACAGGAGACAGAGTGATCGAGTAATTGTTTTAACAATCCCTTTACTTGCAGACTGCGTCAGTTTTTAAGTCTCTTTTCCATTCATAATATGACTTAATTCCGTTCGCTTTCTCATTCGTTCTTTCATTTTTTTGTCATTTATTCAGCAAATATTAATTGAGCATCTCCTGTGTGTCTGGCATTACGGTAAAAGCTGGAGTTACGATTGTTAAAGTGTTGGGCTTATAGGGAGAACTAGCAGGAATTACAGAGCAAAGACCTATGATGCTTTTTTTTTTTTTTTGTAAGCTCTGCTACTTACTGTATGGTTTGGGAAAAATTGATCAATCTACGCCTCGTTTCCCACTAATAAAGCAGAGCATAGAAACCTCATAGGTCTGTTGTAAGGTTCATATGAAAAAATGTGGGGGAAAGATCTTTATAAATCTTACTACACTATATGAATGAGTGAGTGATTATTATTAATTTGCATCAATTTGTTAATTACTTTGATCAATCAATAAACATGTTAAGTCTTTATTTCATGCTTTGGGGAAGATTGAAATCTGAAGTGAGAACCTGGGTTCAGCCAGATTCAGCCCCTCTTTCTTCTGGGTGTGACTCCCAGTTTGGCCAGCTGTGTGATCTTGGGCAATCAACTCAACCTCTCTGAACCTCATTTTCATCATCTAAAAAATCATCAATATTGACCTCTTAGTGTTGTATCCAAGGAGATACTGTATATGAAAGTGTTCCCTGTAAATGCAGATTGGCTAACATTGTAGTTAGGGCAGATTCTTTACTTTCTAATTCTCAGTGCAGTATTTCTATTTCTATGGCATTTTTTTCTCTGTAATATCTAGTTCAATGTGGTACACCTGGGGCTCAGAGGCTTCTGTTGCTTTCCTTTCTGAGAGAAAAAACTGGGACCAGTGGGACACAGGAGGGCTGTGTGTGTTGAACATGTGATCAAGCCATGAACCAGGTCCTCTAATTTCTGCTGACCCAAGGCCCCTGATCTCTGGCCTCCTGAGGCATCCTGGTCCCAGAGCACTCTTGCCCAGGGTTTCTTGCTGCCCTGGGTGTTGTCTTGTGCTCCCAGGCTCCAGATCCTCCAGAGAAGAGGGCATTGTGCCTGAAGGGTAGGGAAAAATGAACCTCAGGTCTTCCTCTTCAGAGGCTGGCAAGTAAAGGATATATGTGAAGAAGAACCCCAGGAGCTTCCCTGGGGTTACCAGAGGCTTAGGGGCCTAGTGACCAGGAAAGGGTGGTGCTCAGGGAGGCTGGTGTTCTTGGGTTAATCATCACTGTGCCTCAGATAAGGCCCTGCCAGCTGGAAGCAAAGTCAGTGTGACCAGAGGGTTTGTGTGGCTAAAGAGACAGTGTGTCCATAGTGCAGGACCATGCCGGGCACGAAACGGTTTCAACATGTGATTGAGACCCCGGAGCCTGGCAAGTGGGAGGTGAGACCCCTTCTCCTTATTGCCTTTTTGCACTGATTTCTAGAATCATTTTTTTTAATCTGGACTTATTTCCACTCTGAATTTCTGTTCAGCCCCTCTTTCTTCTTATTTTCCTTCCTAATCTTTCCCTGATAGGCCCAGAATACCAAATGCAGGCTGAGTTTCTGATGTGTGTGGTATGAGCCCAAACACTGTAACCTGCTGTGTTTTTGACATCCAGTTCAGCAGGCATGAATGAGGATTTGACTTTCTGCCACCATCTTTGTCCCCTCCTCCCTCTAGTTGTCTGGGTATGAGGCAGCTGTGCCAATCACAGAGAAATCAAACCCACTTACCCAGGACCTGGACAAAGCAGATGCTGAAAAAATTGTTCAATTACTGGGGCAATGTGATGCTGAGATCTTCCAGGAGGAGGGACAAGCCATGCCCACGTACCAGGTAACCCAGACCCATCCCTTGGATGCAGCGAATACAGATACCAAACCCAACCCCAACCCCACCTCAACCTCTGCCCTTCCAGACCATTCCTCCTGTTTTGGAAACGCTGTGACTCCACCCCATCCCCCCAGTCCACTGTCTCCTTTCCTTGGTTTCTGATTCCTACCTGTTCCCTACAGCGACTCTACAGTGAATCAATTCTGACTACCATGGTACAAGTGGCTGGGAAAGTTCAAGAAGTACTAAAGGTACTAACCCTCTGTCTGCTCCCTCCCTAAACTTTTCTATTTCCCTTTAACTTTCCCTTATTTTGGTCTCTGTTTCTTACTTTTATAGATCTCAGTTCTCCTTTCCCCCGCCTCTATTTTGGATCCTTATTGTCATCTTAATAATCAATAATAATTATGGATATCATTACTGCTTAATACTTAAAAGTAGACAAGGTAATTTCACACTCATTACCCTTACAAAAACCTGTGAAATTGAGTTTATTGTCTGGTTTTTCTTTATAGATGAGAAAACAAAGACTTAGAAAAGATAATCACAGTAGCTTGTTCAAACACACCCGGCATTAGCTGGATAAGGCTACTTTTATTATTCCTTGTTATTTAGATGACAAAGCTGCTTTCAGTACTTTCTGGAATAAGTAGTAAACCACAGACTGAAGTTTCTTTTTCCAATCAAGTGTTCTTTTAGCTACACCGCACTGCCCATGTTGTGTTTAGTTTTGTGATGAGAGGAGGCTTAAGGATTCTCTACAATTCCCCTTTCACTACTAACAAAGAAAAAATATGTTTTCCCCAACCTGAGCTGGTCCCTGGTGACTAGGCATTTTTCCTTCCACAGGAGCCTGATGGGGGGCTGGTAGTGCTCAGTGGAGGGGGCACCTCAGGCCGCATGGCATTCCTCATGTCAGTGAGTACCCTGATCCTCAGTTTTCCTTCCTCCTTCTGGGAGTGACCCCTCCGCCCATAAAGTGCAGACAGCTAAGCTCCCAGGTGGATCCATCACTAGACCTAGGGCTCCAGGCCTGGCTATTGCAGATCTCACCATGGAGTTCCATTTCTTCTGAGCCTGACTGAGCTCCACCAGTCTATTGCCAACATCTCTGTATCCATGTACCTCCAATTGATTGTCTGCAAGTACCATTTTTCAGTGTCAGAGTCCATGTAGGACAGAGTTAAGAACTGGTCTGGCTCGGCGCCTGTGGCTCAAGTGGCTAAGGCACCAGCCACATACACCTAAGGTGGCAGGTTCGAATCCAGCCTGGGCCCACCAAACAACAATGATGGCTGCAACCAAAAAATAGCCAGGTGTTGTGGTGGGCACCTGTGGTCCCAGCTACTTGGGAGGCTGAGGCAGGAGACTCGCTTGAGCCCAGGAGTTGGAGGTTGCTGTGAGCTGTGAGGCCATGGCACTCTACCCAGGGTGACAGCTTGAGGCTCTGTCTCCAAAAAAAAAAAAAAAGAACTGGTCCAAGAAAATCATTATACCTCCTCTGCCCGTTAGGAGTTAAAACTCCAAGATAATTATTCTCTCACTGTTATTACCTCTTCATATCCTCTCTCCCCCTTGACAGGTCTCCTTTAACCAGCTGATGAAAGGCCTTGGACAAAAACCTCTTTACACCTACCTCATTGCAGGGGGTGACAGGTAAGCCAAGCTGGCCTAAGAAGATTTCATTTAGTCAGAATAGTGGTTTTTAGAAATTGGATTCAAATGCCTTCAGACAGACATTGCATTGAGTTTGTGTTGGTCCGCACCATTCTATTTTGCCTTACACTTGATCCATTTCACATAGCTATGTTGTCTGACTGTCCCTTTTAGGTATTTGAGTTTTTCAACTCTATAGAGCATCTATCATGGTGCCCAACAAACAGTGGATGCCCGTTCAGTGACAATTTCCCCTTTTATTCCCTTCTCTTAATGTAGTCTGCCCTAATAAACTGCTTCCCAGTTAGTGTCACTGAATTTGAGTTTGTTCTCATAGGTCTGTGGTGGCCTCTAGGGAGGGTACAGAAGATAGTGCCTTGCATGGGATTGAAGAACTGAAGAAGGTCTGTGCTTTCCACTGGTACTCAACCAGAGGCCTCTGCTTATTCCTTCTCATGGGGACATAAAACCCCAACATTCAACCAAAGTCTATTCTCTCCTCTGGTCCTGGCTCTTATATCCTCACAAAATAGGTTTATGTCCTGGGGAGCTCCCAATTGACTACCTTGGCCTATCCTTCTCTCTTAGGTGGCTGCTGGGAAGAAGAAGGTGATTGTTATTGGTATTTCGGTGGGACTTTCTGTGAGTGGATCAATTTTATAAAGAGGAAGTGGGTGGGGATGGAATAGCATGGAAGATAGGTCAGTCAGGGAGCTACTAGAACACGAAGTTTGCTCAAGAAAGTTGGTTTTAGTTTTATTAATTTGGATTTAAGTGTATGACTATGGGAAGGGCTGTGTATCAATCTCTCAACAACCAAGATAGGTGGACTAGTCCAGAGGTCAGCAAACTATACTGGCAGATAAATCGAGCCAGCTGCCTATTTTCTTTTTTTTTTTTTTTTTT